CCCCAAACCACAGCTCCCTCTGGGGCTGGGGGACACGCTGCCAGGCGAAGCGCTGGGCTGTGGGGCAGGGGGGCCAGGGGAGTCTTGCTCTGTGTCCTAGAAAAGCCACTAGAGCTGAGGGAAGGGAACAGGCTCTTGTGTTGCTAAAGGGCCACCTCTCACCCCCGACTGCCAAGCAGGCTGGGCAGAAGATGGACAACAGCCAAAGGGGAAAATGGGACTTTAAAAAGTTAAGCTCTTTAAGTTCTCCTTTTGAAGAACTTCCTCAAGAAAATTTATTCCACAGCTACTGCGCATGACAACAGCATCTTTACCAGCATGTAAACGTGGTTCTCGGACGTTGTGGGACTCCCGGGTTTAGGGTTCCTGCTGACCCTTTTTGGGTACACCGACATACTTCAAAGGGAAACTAAGCTTTCAAGAAAGGGCAAGAATTCCCACACTTTAGGCTGCTACACAGGGTTGCAATCACTGCCACACTGACAACTAACCCCCTGTACGGTAAATCATGCAGATCACACAAAGCTGTGTCTGTGCACCATCCCCCTACACCCCAGAAAATTTATATTCTTTTTGAACCAAGTCACAAACTCTTTCCTTTAGAGACTGGTCACATTACACAGGCTACAAACCCAAAACCAGAGAGGGTTATTGTATAAAACACTTCCACGCAAGGGTAAAGACTCTGTGGAGAGGACAAAGCATAAACCTCCGGCAGGATGGGAAAAACAAAGAGCTTACACAAGAGTCACATCTTGGAAAATCCAGTCTCTTAAAGTATTTCCTTAATTCAGAAAAGAAATGAGATTTTAAAACTGAATAGATATACTTGCCTTGCTCTCCACTTCCCAAAGAAATGGGGAAACCTTTCTCCCAACTTGTGCAAAATTGCTCACCCCCAAATATGCCTCGACAGCCACCCCCCTTCCTGAAGCCCTGTGCCATCAGCAGGGAGGAGGCAGCACCTTGCTGGGCAGACTTCTCCAAATTCACTCTTTTATAATTGTACAAAGTTACTGGCTATAAGCAAATACTTTGCCAGCAGTGTTATAAATTAACAAATCTTGGGAAAAGAGTTAATCCTAATGCTTCAGGGCTTTAGCATCAGACACCAGGTCGTGCTGTACGCAGAGGATTATTGTTCCACGGTTGCCAGCTGCAGGGTGCGTGCTCCGTCTCTGGACACAGCGGGTGGATGCTGCTCTGCTCTTCGAACAGGACTCTGCACCAGATGGACCTGCCATCTGAGCCCGTCTAGAAATGCTGGCATTGTCAACACTAGTGCACATTTTATCTTTTTTTTTTTTTTAAACAGTCAAAACAGAAAACAGTTTTCATCGACAATTTGCAGATTCAGAACTCCTCCCTCCAGCAATATCATGCACCGTAATAGATACAAGACTTTTCTGAAGGTCTGTTTAACAACAGAGAAAGAACAGGATGCTCCCATTGAAAAAAAAGATGTACCCCCAAATTACGCATTAATGTAATTCAGTTACATATATTTCAGTGTATCATTTATGCATAGCATGTAAGGACCAGAGAGGTAACAGAACAGCCTTAATCCTGCTATGTTGACATCTTAATAGAAATTCCTCTCAGGTACAAGCTTTGTGGGATATAATCTCCTAGAGGACTGATCAATATCACACTCTTCATCAGAGAACTTCATGAACTAAGCGTCTCGGGAGGATACAAACTGTAGGATGTGATCTCATTCAGTACAGATAATTCTTCCTTACTCGCTCTTTATGCTACAGCTGAAAACAAAACCACGGTAAGAGACAACCGTCGAGGAGGTTTTAATTGCTCTTAGAAAGGGACTACCGTGGAAATTAGAAACATGGGTGCATGACAGCAGCGCTGGGGAGTTTGATGATCACATCACTGGATTTGCTCTGGTGGATAAGGGCCAGTTTGCTGTCACCTGCAGCACAAACCCCACCACAGGCTGTAAAAAAGGTCAATAGGTGCCCAGAGTCAGCCGTCAATGCCCACAGCAACACACCCACAGATACAGGACACCACCACCACTCAACTACAACGTCTCTGTGAAGATGGGAGATAGGGAGGAGTCACTGGTTGTGGATGAATTTAATTTTCAAAGATTAGGAATTCTGCAAGCTCTTAAAGTTTTCCTGGGCCCATTGCATGTTTCGACAGCCCAAGACCTGTTACACTGAAAATTCAGACTCCTCATTCATACATCAAAAGGGGAGCGGTGAGGAAATCCACTAATTTTTATGGTGAACAAGCCCTGGCATGCTCTGCTGTGCTCCTTGCTGGCTAAAAATGATGCCACATTATCAAGCCCATTCCAATTGCTGCAAGAAACAA